ACAGTTTTTTTTTCAAAGACAATCGTAAATATAACATTATTAGGTATGTATATATAATTTTCTTTCTTATCTAGCCAGGGTATGACATTCTGTTAGAAGATACTAAAGGATATTTTCAAACAAAATATGAAAATACTTCAACGATTATTATTGATTAAAAAAAAATATGTACAATTTTATTGTCTTCGGTAAAAATTTACCTATTCTAGTAGAGTTTTTGAACGAAAATATGTCGGTAGAAAATTCATAAATAATAGGTCCAAAAAAATGCGCTCGCTTCTTCCTTTTCAGCAATTCATACCTGCATGGTTTTATGGGAAATAAATTGTCCAAATGTAAACATTCATTTATATAAACAATTATACTTTAAAGTAACTAATATGACTTAGACGTTTTTAATTTTTTCTAGAATTTAATCTTATAACTACACAACTTGCCTTTACACTAATCCCAGATAGACTTCACTAAACACATATAATCACTAAATCACTTACTTTTTCAATGTGTTTACACGTCTATGTATAAAGTTACACTAAGTGATCGTTGACGCAAAACAATCTGAGCTGAGTGAGGGCTGTCAATTATAAGATTTTATTGAAATTATTGTTCCTTAGTCATAAACACACAACCACGCGTAACGGGACATTAACTTATGATGTATTACTTAAATTTAAAAACATGTAAGAAATTAAAGTCATTATGTCTAAAAGATTGCGTGTGTCTAGAAAAACCAGTGGCGCGTCACTGTTAGTCACTCTTAGTCTTGGCCTCCGACTTCTGTATCTATCTTGAGTTTTTTTCTAATGGGCAGGTATGTGATCAGTCTGCTGTTCCTGACACACTTTTCAGGGTCGAAGCTCTACGGCATGCTGGTTGGAGTGTTGCATTCTTCACGATGTTTTACTCTACTTTAAAAAGTATTATAGATACGCATATAAAACTCTATAAAGAAAAGTGCAAAGCCGTGTTTCGAACCTATGACCTCAGACCAACACTCATTAAAACTTCTTTGTGGTTTAAGCAAAAATTGCACATATAATTTTAAATCGTTTTTGTAATGCTTGTACTAATTTATCTTATTGCAAAATGAAAAGTATTTTATGTAGTAATTAACTTCAAAATCTCATACAAGAACATTGTTTACGGACAAATCGCTTTAATTTTGAGATCACGTGATGAATCATGTGTCTTTTAGTGTCAGCCCTAGATAACCGGGCGCCATTAACAATCTACAGACAGCCCCAGTAGCAAGTTCACCATCGTTGGTTTAATTTACAAGATAATCCGAAATAAACTTAAAAGTGCACACAGTTTAATAAAGCATTGTTTATTTATTTTTACATATACAGGGCCTATATAGCTTTTAGTTAGGAAAAATATGAGAAAAAGTAGAAAACTGGCAATAAAAAAGTAGTCGAGGTCGGCATACTTTATTGTGTGTTTTTACACGCTTTATATTAGCTTCACCTGTATGTATGTATGCATGTATGTATGTAACCGACTCCTTCGGACTCGATTTTGACCCACTTTAAACGGACAGATTTAATTCAAACTTTGTACACTTATAAAGAATCAGCGACAATATAATAATTTCATAGGTTTGTCTCGAAAAAACAATGAAATTTTTTTTTTGAAGTCCACAAAGCAATACGGTTAAATTGAGACAACACGTATTGCTGCTAGGACTAAAAAGTGGAAAATAAATATAGTTCAAAAAAACTAAAAAACACGCTTTTAAAGCACATCAAACTAAAAAGTATTTTTCGTCTATCGAGCAACCCACGCTTTTTCACAATAAAACCAGTATTTTTTGTTCATTACTATTTTCAGCCTACATTAGGAATTATTTTTCACTTTTTAGTTTGATGTGCTTTAAAAACGTGTTTTTTAGTTTTTTTAAACTATATTTATTTATATAACAGGTGGAAAAAAGGCAGCCGGCTCATCTGATATTAAGTAATACCGCTGCCCATAGACACATATTGCCTTAACGCTCAGTTGTGGAACTACGGACGTCGAGGTGATACGGATGGTATTTTGTCACTCGCCATGGTAATGCGGTAGAAGCAGTGGCCTAACTATACCATCTAGGGCCCGTGGCAAATCTTCTTTCGTAGCAATTCTTTTGAAGGAGCACTAACAGTAAAATCGTCCCTACTCAGTTTAATTTTAATAAACTTCGAGATTTTCAGCGTACTCAATTACACGTTGTATATGTCCCACTAATGGCCATAGGCCTCCTTTCTGAGGCGAGCGGGAATGGTTTGTAGTGCCCACAATAGCCCAATTGGAGATTTCACATTCATCCATACAACATAATATCTTTTGGGCAGGGGCCCTCTTGGGTCGGGGGCCCGAGGCATTTTGCCAGCCCTGCCACCTTATTGTTACGCCACTGGGTAGAAGATGCAGAGAGACCCCACATCTCTACGCAACGCCAAGAGATCAAGCCGCTCGGAAAATGATTGGTCGTCGGCTGGAATCAGTCTTCGTTGAATTTACTTAACTATTAACGCTGTGTATACGTTTAGTAAATAGAATACAATAGGCAGAATAATCTGGGGTTCGAACGCACCATAATGTTGTTACTGGGAATCGCACACTTACCAATTACTAAGTTAACATTGGTCTTATCGAATTCGCTTTATTCAATCATCGCTAAGCTCGTTATTTGCTCCACGCATCAAGAAAGTTGTATCATCATTCAATGTACAAGGTATTTCCCGTCGCCCTTCGATTTATATGTCATTAATTTTTGCTTATTCTATTAGTCATAAATATATACAATCACGTTAGGCTATATGTGAGACATGGCATGTAATTAGGATGTATGACTATGTTCTTTCCTAAAACCGCAGGTTATTAAGCATTTAGTTTGATATTTGAGAGCCTGGGTTGAGTTCCCGGCGAAACATTAATTTTTTCGACGCGGAAGGCCATTTGATTTGTCTATAATTGTGAAACAGACTATATTCAAACACTAAACGGAGTTTAAGAACTACTTTAATTACTTACCAAGCGTTGATTCTATGAAAATTTAAAACACCTAAAAAGCCCTTTCTCAGAAATAGCTTTATATTTATTTACTTTTTCCTATACAATCGGTTAGTTATAATAAAGAAAGTCTAACTAACCAAATCTAATGTTTTATTGCAGTTACGCAATTAAAATAATACATTGTCCATAGAGAATAAACATTCGAAACTTTAATTTTTCGATAAATAATTTTATCAAAACCAATTCCAAGACTAAAACTTGAGGTCAATGACCCCTCAAACCTATACGTTAATATTATATACATATATATAAAAGATTTGTATGTAAGAATGTTTGTAACGAATTGGCTCAAAAAGTACTGGGCCAATTTTAAAAACTCTTTCAACATTTGAATTCTACATTGATGCAATGCAATATAGGCTATTTTAATTGCAAGAAAAAAATAAGGATTATTCTAAATCGATATGAAATGTTTTTAAAATTTACCTGTTGATGTCAATAATTATTTGGTTATCATTTTGTTTTCATCAAGTCCCATACACGAAGAGAGCCAGCGATACTCTATTGCTAAAGACATTATTATTTAGGTACGTCCGTATTTACTCCACGTTTATGCCCAAATATTTAAAAAATAAATGCCCATCCGTGCGAAGCCGGGACGGGCTGCTAGTCTCATATAAATGCTTAAACGTCCCTTTAATAATTAAACTTAATTGAATCAAACGATATAATAGTCAAGCATTTTATGAAATAATCAATTCCACAGATAGCTATCGAATCATAGAATAATCAACATTATAACCAATTGAAGCCACGTTTATAAGCTATGGTTTATATTTGACTTTAAATAAAAAATATGTATTTGTTAAATAATATAATGGAATTTCTATACATTACTTTTTTACATAACAGGTGACATGCTTTAGAATATTTGGGGTTTGTCTAAGGGAGCGTTCAAGTATTACGTACCGAATTTTTGTGGGGGTCCTTTTGTAAAACGTTAAGATGGGGGGCGGGGATGGTATTAAGCCGTTATTGTTAATATTATTTTCGACATTCCAGTACTTGGGTACAGAAAACGTTACGGCTAATTACATGGGGGGGGGTCAATAATCTCCAAAAATTGCGTGACGTGTTACTTGAACGCTGCTCCTTAATAACTAAATGATGCTATGGTAAGGTTAACTTAAAGTAACAAAGAAACAAGGTAAATAATATTTCAGTATATTAACACAGAATACGGCATACGTAAAAAAATGTGGAGACTTGTCTATGAATAGAAGGCATTATAAAGGCTTTATTGATCCTAAATTAAATACCTTTGGTAGTTGAGATCCTAAATATAAAAATAGTTATTTGATCACAGTCTCAAATCTTTACTCTATATTAAAACGTATAATTTTAATACATCTTCGTGTTTATTATACTTATTTTATCCGACTTTATAGTCGAATAGTCAAAAGCTACTGAAATATAACAGCATATTAAAAGGTTTAATCCGTAACAAAATTTGCTTTAGACAGTTAAACTTTTAAGTAACTGTGTATTTAAAAGTCTGTTTTAGAATAATAAGGCTTTTTCTAAGCTTAAATCTAAACATTTGACCGTGCTCCGGGTCTTAAGATACATTGTGAAGTAAATAGAGCCTCAAAATAATTTTCAGTCAGTTAATAATTCGTCAAAATATGTTTACATGGCGAATTCATATTGATCTTTCAAAACACTAGCAATACTACATATGTATGACCAAGAGGTCTATGGGATTCTCAATTTTGAGGTTGTGACTTCAAATAGAATTATATTAACACTTGATTGGTGAAGGAAACATCTTACGGAAATACATAAAGGCATATCAAACGTCAGTCACAGGAAGCTGGTTTTAAGGGTTGTAGCGACATCAAATGATTGCATTCAAAATGCTTCTGATAGTCAGACTATACTTTTAGCGGCTTTAATCACTCTAACCATTGCATATAACTGGAAATTTGTGTTTGTATTCAATATCAGCAGAAACAGTACACTCTCTTCTTTTCATCCTCTTTTTGTAATTGTACTCTTAACTCTTTCACATCCTTCATCACATTAATATCTGCTACACAATCCTCTACTATCTTCTGGAATAACTCTTCTGTAAATAATATTAAAAACCTATTAATTATTAAGTCTTTCTTTGCCACCAATGGAAAACAGAATTAGAAAGAACTGCACAACGAGCTATGTCAGATAAGTAATAAACCTATTACTTATGAACACCCCCATACTATAGGCAGTAGGCACCCAATGTTTTAAGAAATATATTCCTTTACTTTGAAGGCATTATTAGCTGGTAATCTCCTTTTTTTTACAATATGGTGGTAAATCTTGATGTGAAATGAATTGACTTGAATGCTTGGATTCTTCAATAGATATATGCAAATTTTTTTAAAAGCTTTGAGTATTGATTTTATTTTTTATTTATTTATTGTTTATACCAATTTACAGAAAATCTTACTAAACTTCTATGATATTCTGAAGATCTTACCAACATTCTCTCCAGTTTTGCTTGAGGTCAGACAGTGTCCATGTAGACCTTGGGAGTATGTATTTACTATATCTTCTGGGACCTCTCGCCGGACCTCGTCGGAGTCAATTAGATCTTTTTTGGTACCACAGAGATAGACTTTGCACTCCTGAAAGAACCCAAGAAGCAACATTGCATACAAAAGCCAAGCCTATGTTTATATACCATACCTAAATTAATTTTAATTTCTCACCTCTTCAACTGTCCTCAATTCTTGCAACCAATGCCGGAGTCGCGTCCAAGACTCGAGGCAACAGGGGTCATAGCATATAATCGCCGCATGCGCACCACGGTAATACATACGTGTCATAGCTTCATAGCTGTAAAGTTGAAAGTGCAAAGATTAGAAACAAGTTTCAATATTGTATTTAAGAAAAGTTGATCAGTCACGTTTTACTTGCCAGACCAACTGCAAAATTTGGTGTAAAATAAATTTGACCTATAATGTTTAAGTTCCATGATCTTGTCTTTTCAAATTCGCTGAAGTAAAATATATATAAATTATAATTGTATTTACATATTTAATTTTTTTATTTATTATTTTTATTTTTCGTAATTCTAATCATTATGAATGCTTTACATCCATCCTGTATGTTCTAACTAATGTTGATATTTAATTTGGGCAACATAGGGAATTTCCTAATTTCAAGTATGAATACTATTCATAGAAAAAGGAAAACCCAAATAGTTAATAAATAGTTATATTTAAGTGAGGAGAATAACAACTAGTGCATTGAATAACTTTCCTTTTCCAAATTTCTCTCTAATATATCTTATTATGGAATGTAGTTTTAAAGCTTGTTTTTTACAATGCTTAAAACTTGTTTTAATCTGTGTTCTTAAACATGTGTTTTGTAATATAAGCAAAGTATTTACTATTTACAAAATAAAACATTAGTGGAAAAATCCCAGATGAGGAAGAAATAGACCACAAAATATTTACCGTTCACTACCTGCGGTATCCCATATTCCAACATTGAATGGCTTTCCATTAACACATATTGTTTTGGCACAGAAAGCTGCTCCGATTGTCTGAAATAAGATAAAAACATATTTAATTTGTATCTAGAAGATATTTGGTTATCATATTATATCAATGGTCCTTTAGGGCAAAAATGTAAAAGAACAGAAAAGCATTTTTACTGAGGCCCACTCACAGTATGCACACATAGATTAAGTCAGAAAAATTTAATGCTTTAAAGGTGAAGACATTGAAATTTTAATGTCAATGTCCTTGTGAGGTAGTGAGATAAATTTTTCAATACTATTTTTAACAACTTAATTACTACATGTGCTGCTTACTAACTATATGATATGTGTTATTTAGGCCATTTTTAGTTAATATACTGTTGTCTAATAATATAATAAGTAGCTTAATTATAATAAGAATTGTCAAGTTGACTATACTTCAAGGTACCAACTATAAGACAAGTTACAATGATTTTTACATTTATAAGTAGGTTGAATATGAATGAATTGCCTTGAATCATTATTGCTTAAATTATGAAGCTGCACACCACTCTACAATAAAAAGAATAGAAATTAATGCAGATTTTACCTACACTCACTTGGTAATAATATTGAAAGATTATAAATTATTATATGCATTTTTAACATTTAAAAAATTAAGGTCTGTTTACGATTATTTGTAGTAACAAATAATCGTAAACATTTTTTTTTTTATTAAAACAACATCGTAGTAGGCGCTTATATCTTTGTAATTGTCTTAAGATGTCAAAAAAATTATAAAAATAGACTTAGAATAATTAGAAAACGTACATACATTTTGGTATGGCGTTGATGCATTAAAGCGACAATTTACAAATCTTATTACTAAACTAGTCTTCCCAACATGTTCACTGCCTAATAACACAATCTTAAAATCACATCGACTCATTGTGCTTATAATATAAACTTCGACTAAAACTTCATTGTTTTAAGTAACATTTCCTTTTTATATAAAAAAATTAATGCTATTAATTTATCAAGTATTTTATTACAATAAAATCTTATACATTGCTTTATGATAAAAGAATATTCATAAAATTCCGTCTCAAAACTTAAAGCAAAATGAAAATCCAGAAATCTCAACTCTCAAGTCACCATAGGTCACAGATTCAATAAAAGAATCAAGAATGGTAAATGGTAATAACTAATAGAACGTTGAACTTAGAAGATTAATCATAGAATTAATGGACTGGAGAAATAATATAGTAGGAAATAGAGACACCACTCTCGACTAAATTTGATGTCACGCTATCTTAAGTTCGGTCCCTAAACCAAAGTCAGTGATTTCAACACCTACAGAATGTTCCAACCTCAAACACCTACCTCTAAATATCGATTAAAACCCCTAAAGTATATTTTGTTGTACACTCGGTTTGAGAGGTAGTTTGAAATATTAATTAAAAATACATTAAAGTAGTATAAAATAGTTGTATTTATGCGCGTGTATTTTACACATTTACATACTTTAATCAATTTCCTTACTAAGGATGATAACAATGTTCTTAAACGATTTTTATTTTAAATTTCTTAACTATTCTTTCTTTAAAGTTTAGTTTTAGTTTTTCTTAAACTTTTTTAATAGTATCTAGTTTTTTGCTTTTTCCTAATTTTCTTTTCATACATTATTTTTAGAACTTTTAAAAATCTTGATAAAGTACCGCTTAAATAAATGTATCATCTCTCAAAATCATATTGTACCCTATAAATTTGAGGGAAAACTCCCAAGTTGGCATCACTGACACTCCAAAATAACAAAAAAAATTAAATTCTAGTTCATAATATAATTATATTTTTTCGTTATATATTTCGCGATCATTTTTATAAAGGAAATTATTGTTCAGATTTTTTACCTCAACAAAAATAAATACAATTATTGAATAAGAATGACTTAAACTGAGTTTTTAAAATTTATACATTGCCACATACAAAACAGTTATTATATTTAAGATTTTTACAGAAATACCAGTATATCAATTATTCTCGGCAAAGTAACATTTGCGTCTTTCAATGGGTGTTCACTAACTTACTGTTCTCAAAGAGACGTATCTCTTTGGGACTTAAAGTTTATTTGAGTGTGCTGGTTGGTTTTTTTCTATTTCGTTTGTTGGTTTTCTTACGATTAGTATAGAAACGCCTATACACGTACGTACAAGATTTTTGACATGAATCAGGGATATTTACTATGAATACAGAATGCTGTAATGAAAAATAATTATTTATTTAAAATATAACCAGTGGCAATCCCAAAATATCATGTTACAATGGGGCGGTCTTTAAGAGAAGCTATTTGATGTAAACCTCTTTGATGTAAACTTCTTACATGATACTATTATAAAATGATGACATTGTCAATCTGTTTAGACACTAACTTTTGTCAATGTATCAAATGTAACCAAAATATTTTACTGTTAATTTAGCTTATTAAAACCTTATATTCTTCAAAGGTTTTGTCTTATTTCAATTTAATAAGCTAAATAAAAAAGAAACATGGATAAATATCTTCGCCCTGAAAGATTTGATATCGACCCGTCAAATAGCTCTGGTACGAAAGCTTGGATACACTGGCATAAGACTTTCGAAAGCTTCATTTACGTGCAGAAACCGACCGCTCCAGAAACAGATGCACAGTCGGTTCCTCCGTCAGAAAAATGGGACAGCATAAAGTTTCAGCTTTTGATAAATCATATATCACCAAATATATACACATATATAAGCGAAGCCACGAACTACGAAGAAGCGATCACAATACTGCAAAAACTGTATGTAAAACCAAAAAAATCTGATTTTTGCTAGACACATGTTAGCAACAAGGAAACAACGATCAGAAGAAAGTATCGACACATATTTACAAGCTTTGAAACTACTTTCTAAAGATTGTGACTTTGCGGCTGTTGATGCAGAATCAAACAAAAACGATAGCGTGCGTGATGCTTTCATATCCGGTATATCATCGCATAAAATCAGACAAAGGCTTTTAGAAAACTTAAATCTAACACTTGACCAAGCTTACAACCAAGCACTCTCTCTAGAAACTGCAGAGATCAACTCTCAAAGCTTTTATACTGTGTCTTTAAATGCCGTTGAAGAAGAACCTAAATTAGTCTGTCCCAAATCACAAACTGTGCACGACGAGACCTGCTCTTCTGTTAATAATCCTCGACGACGAAAATGTTTCTTTTGTGGGGGACAAATACATCCTCGTAAGAACTGCCCTGCATTTGAAAAGTCTTGTCAGCTCTGCAACAAGAAGGGGCACTTTGCCACTGTTTGCAGAAGCTCTTCTAAACCTACAAATTTTATGGTAGTAGGTACTGAAAATCTTTCTTGTATCACAGCAGCGTCACCGTATTCATTACACAAAGCTACTGTACCCGCGTTTATTCGAGGAATAAGAGCAGAGGCACTTCTCGACACCGGCAGCTCCATCAGTTTTATAAATGACAGTTTTGCAAGACTATGCGGGTTAAAAAGAAAATCCTGCAATCAGATTATTTCTATGGCCTCTCTTAATCATACTTCACAAGTAGAAGGTCAAACTTTGCAAAGCCTGAAAATTGGAAATCATAAATATGATAATGTGAATCTTCTTATCGTGAAAAATCTTTGTGCTGACATAATTATCGGCCATGACGTCCTCGAAGAACATTCATCACTAGAGTTCTCTTTCGGTGGGCCAAAACATCCACTTCAAGTATGTAACGTAGCCGAAGCATCAGTACCAGCTGTACCGCTTTTTGCAAATGTATCTCCCAACTGCAAACCTATTGCTATTAAGTCTCGAAGGCACAGCAAAGAGGATAGTGAATTTATTAAAGAGGAAATCAGAAACCTTACAAAGGAAGGCGTGATTGAAGAAAGTAAATCACCGTGGAGGGCCCAAGTACTAATAACAAAAACCGAAACTCATAGAAAACGTCTTGTGATTGATTACTCCCAGACAATTAATCGTTACACAGAACTCGACGCGTACCCTTTACCAAACATTGAGGACTTAGTTTCGAAAGTGGCAAAGAATTTATTTTTCAGCCTAATAGACTTGAAAAGCGCGTACCATCAAGTACCTATACTACCCGAAGAAAGAAAATTTACCGCTTTTGAAGCGCTCGGAAATTTGTACCAGTTCAGGCGTATCCCTTTTGGAGTAACAAATGGTGTTTCGAGTTTCCAACGAACAATCGATTGGATTATAAGGAAAGAAAAGCTTCAAAACACATATGCGTATCTTGATGATATAACTATTTGTGGCCGTACTCTTCAAGAACACGATCATAACTTAGAAAGTTTTATGAATGCCGCAAAGAAATACGGTTTAACACTGAGTATGCTAAAATGCAAATTTTCTCAAGAGTCAATTAATATTCTAGGCTATAATATTCAAAACCACATAATTAAACCTGACAGTGAGCGACTCAAGCCACTGATTAATTTACCTGCACCAAGCGATTTACCGACCTTAAGAAGGACACTCGGCATGTTCGCACATTATTCTAAGTGGATTCCAAACTTTTCTGAACGGATCCACTCATTTGCTAATACGACTACTTTTCCGCTCACAAGCGAGCAAATTAAATGTTTCCAAGGCCTGAAAAATGATATCGCAAAGTCTTCTAGACATGCAATTGATGAAAATATACCTTTTACAGTCGAAACTGACGCTTCCGATCATTCCATTGCAGCAGTACTTACGCAAAATTCTAGACCAGTGGCGTTTTTCTCAAGAACTTTGAATTCAAGCGAACAAAACCATTCCGCCATTGAAAAAGAAGCGTACGCCATTGTTGAATCATTGAAGAAATGGAGACATTTCCTTATCGGTAGACACTTTAAGTTGGTAACTGACCAACGCTCGGTTTCTTTTATGTTTAATATGAAACATTCAAGTAAGATAAAGAATGAAAAGATTCAAAGATGGCGACTGGAACTTGCTGTTTTCAAATTTGATATTATATACAGACCGGGGAAAGAGAACTATGCTGCTGATGCACTATCCCGAGTTTGTGCCACTGTAGAAACACGTACTGCAAAACTTTTCTCGCTGCATGAGGCTCTTTGTCATCCAGGGGTAACGAGAATGTTTCACTGGGTTCGCTCTAAAAACCTTCCCTATTCCATTGAAGAAGTCAGAACAATGACAAAATCTTGTCAAACCTGCTCTGAAGTAAAACCTAGATTTTTCCGAAATACTTTTGATGACCAGAGGAAACTTGTTAAAGCGACGGCTGCTTTTGAACGCCTTAGCTTAGATTTTAAAGGACCAGTTCCAACAAACAATAATAATAAATTCATACTTACCGTGATTGACGAATTTTCACGTTTCCCGTTTGCTTTCCCATGCTCAGATGTAAGCTCGAAAACAGTAATTAAACACCTCAACAACTTATTTATGATATTCGGCATGCCTTCTTACGTTCATTCAAATCGCGGAACAGCATTTCTCTCTGCCGAAGTACAGGATTTTTTACATGTTAGAGGTATTGCCACAAGTAGAACTACAGCTTATAACCCTCAAGGTAACGGGCAAATAGAAAAATTGAATTCTACTCTTTGGAGAACGATTCTTTTGGCGCTGAAGACGAAGAATCTTTCGGTAGAAAATTGGGAGCAAGTATTACCACAAGCCTTACATTCGATTCGATCTTTACTTTGTACAGCCATAAATTGCACTCCACATGAAAGAATGTTTAGACACCCAAGACGATCTACTAACGGCACTTCTGTTCCATCGTGGCTTACAAATTCTGGACAAGTCTTGATGAAGAAATTTAATCGTACAAATAAATATCAGCCATTAGTAGAAGAGGTTGCATTGATACACAGCAATCCTGACTATTCATACATTCGGTTCCCAGATGGCCGAGAAACAACGGTGTCAAATCGTCATTTAGCACCATTGGGTTCAGAAGGGGTAGATCTGCGAATAAATAATGACTATCATAACGCCACAGAACCACGTACGGAAACAGAAGACCAAAACTTGGAAATTCCTTTATCTAATGAGATGGGACCTGTGGTACTTGATAATAACAGAGAGCTAGAGACTGATCTACCATCATCACCAACGCCGGAGCCAACACTTCGTAGATCTGACATCGAGATACCATCATCATCACCGCCGGAGCCAACACTTCGTAGATCTGGCACCGAGTTACCATCATCATCACCGCCGGAGCCAACACTTCGTAGATCTGGCCGCGTCCGTAAAAGACCAGAATTATTAAAAGATTACATTTTAAAATAGTGCGGGAGAATGATGTAAACCTCTTTGATGTAAACTTCTTACATGATACTATTATAAAATGATGACATTGTCAATCTGTTTAGACACTAACTTTTGTCAATGTATCAAATGTAACCAAAATATTTTACTGTTAATTTAGCTTATTAAAACCTTATATTCTTCAAAGGTTTTGTCTTATTTCACTATTATATGGCTATTATAGTAAAGGGTTAGAAGAAAAATGACAGTTCGTGTCGACCAGTTTTCATACAAACTTAGTTTTCGACTTTCTACATAGACTATCTTATTTTTTTATTTTTTTTATTTTATGACCTGGTAACATAGACCTTTAAGTCATGAGACTATCTTATAATGCATTTATGACTACAGAAAATAATTCTCTTTGACAACGGCACAGTGGATAGTGACAACATCACTTTGATCTACTGTCATTTTCATATAAATTTATTACGTAGACGGATTTATTAAAATTTGTCGCTTGACATTAAATGAAAATAACGATCCACTATATGGTATGCCATCATTAAAAAAAAATGGTATGCCATCCAATCGATTGTCAGGATCGACTCTATGTAAAATTATTTTATTATGCTCATCTAAGTTAAATTAAGTTCTGTTGTACTATAATTTTACATAATTATAATGTGTATGGTCACTAAACTGGCAGCACTACTTTTTGTACAATTTTCAGACTAGAAACTTTTATTAGATATCTATGGGACAATGTGCACAGATCTAATAGTCTAGATAAGTAGTCAAGGAAGTATGAGTGTCTGTAGACTGCAAGTGCAGTTTCACTACTTTGCCGAAACAAATACTTCTATATGTTATTTTCACGTACTTATGATAAGAAAAAATACGTGCTAGGGAAAAATTCACAATAATTATATCAAATCAATACCAAATATGATATGATAATATTATATTGGAAACTAAACTAAGAATATCGATTAAATGACAAGTTCGGTAGCCAATGAACCCTGTTTATTTTTAAAGACCGATCCATTAATAAAGATAAAAAAATTTAGTTGATAAAGGAAAAGTTTAACAACATTATTACATATATTATAAAATTTTAGAGATTAAATTATTGAATACTAAAAATAGCGCAAAATATAAGACCCAAATTATTAATATCAAAAAATTATATTACTTAATTTTAAAAGATATAATTATATTATGAATTTAATTATACTGCGAATTGCAGTGAGATTAAAGCCTGTAAAAACCATTTTCGAAAAATTATTCGAACCTTTATCAGTACAACATTACATTATATTATTATCGTTAAGTCTAGATCAATAAAAACGTGAGCGAGTGAATAAACAATCTAGCAAGGTGAAACCGCACAAAAGGAGTAACCTCGTCGTACTACGCGATAACAAGCATGTTATCAAAGTTGAAGTAATAATACAATGCCAACTCAGCGGCCGACCTACCTATAACTATTGCCTTTTCACACTGCTTGCACCAATACTTACCTTTCCCACACCCAGTTAAATGTTGCTGGTTTAGGGCTAAAATTAAAATATTATTGATAAGAAAATAAAGTTAATATTTAATAAGATTGTACCATAAATGTACACTATTTTTAAGATTATGGTACTTAATTTATTTCATATTTTTTGTGTGAGTTTGCTAAATGTAATATAATGCGGCTAAATTGTAGTAACTCTACAATTTGACGTCAAGTACAACATATCGTAACATTAAGACAATATTATAGGCCTTATTCCGTGGTGTTAAAGTAAAAATTTCAATACTAGTATTGAAGTGTATATAACCTTCTTGATAACTTGAAAATGATGTCACGACTTTCAGTCTAGTTGTGTTTACTGCTAATGTTGCCATCATCAAAATAATTTTGTCTTTTTCACTCTTCTCCAAGGCAGTCGCATCACCTTCTTTCTGAAGTAATGGACGTTGAGACAGTTTTTAGGTTTTGCGAATTTTGTTTATACCTTCGTGAATCGCGCTTGTAAACTTTTGTTATTACTTTTAAAACCTTTCCCTTAACACAATTATGTAGTGCGCGTATTAAATATCGTCTGTTTTATCGCGGAACACTTGTTTTCCCTATCGTTTGTGCCTTCAACCATTTTATGCCAATTGATTTTGTGCTACCTAACAATTTTCCATAGGTTTTATTGTTTTGAACAAGTTTATTTGCTGTTATATCTTAGTTTCGACTAATGACAATCGATTATAAGTATTAATGTGCTAGTTTTGTTAAGTCATTTACGGTGTATATAACTTTATATGTGTTTTTCATAATAAAATGGACTCTATGCTTTTGGTGAGTATAATTTTATAGGTTCGATAAGAAAAGTAATTACTTAGTACTGTTTTTAACTTGCATTGATTATTATTAGATACTCGATATCATTCTTCGCCTATGCTGCTTATTAAATCATCTTGTTGTTATAAATTAACTGTATTAAAAGGAATGAACACAGCACTGAAAAGCTTCTAAGAAAGTATTTGCAAAAAGAATGCTTGATGCTGCTCTGCCTATAATTCATCTGATCTTCTCATCGTTTACTTTGTTGTAATTGTTTGTTGATCAAAATATTGTAGTACTTTTTATAATAATTATAAATTTACCAAACGTTTTAAGTATAAAAAATATGCATCTACTAGGAGGATTGACTTCTAGAGTGTAGCAAAGTCTTTAGCAACTAAATGTATATCTAAGCAATATTATTTATTATGAACATAACATAACCATTTCATGTTAAACAAATAAAGTGATAAAAATATGTTATTTGTAAACAAGAAAAATAAATTGTATGTAATCTAAAATTTAGCTTGAAGCACCAGCTGGATATGTTGAAAATATAACATAGTCCATCAATATGATAGAAATAAATAAACAAACACAGATTGGCTCATATTACAATTCTCAATATTTTGTAACTTTCAATAGTTTATACATAATATACACCTGTTTATTGTTTAGAAAATACTTATTTCATTAGTTCAATACACCTAAATATATAACTACTATATATAACTTTTATAAATCTTTGTGATTGCACATTACAATAAATTTGATAGTTAATAACAATTATGTATCCTAGCACCTATATTACTAATATGAGTAATATTTATTTTATTTATATATATCAATAAATAATATTGAATATTACATCAAATAATAATAAATTAAATATAATAAGCAATTTAAATATAAATACTTTAGTAGGTTTGGTCTGTAAAATATATTGAATATTATAGGTGATTATAGCTTTTTGATGAATATGGTCTGAGTTCATATTCTAGTAGTGGAAAGTTAACACTGGTTAAAATTATTCTTGTAGAACAAGGGAATCCTATAATTTTGTGTTATTCTAATTATATTGCTACTAATAGCATTCTTTTATAGTATCTAGTTCAAACACATTACTTAGTAAACTGTCTTAGTATGTGTGTCTCCTATGTCCGTTAAAAAGCCATAGGTGTTAATTCTTAATGCAGTCTTTATTACCTGAAAATGTGCTAGGAAAATTGTACAGTATGTATTTACTTTACTCTTCATGTTCCAGTAACAATGGCACTCTGTGAAAGTCAGTTAGGATCTATGATGCAGCTTCAGGATTCCCGTGAGGGGACCAGCTCCCCTGACAAGAAGCCAAAGGTAGAATCAAATGGAGATATCTATGGATTGGATAAAGGTTAGTGTTAAATTATCTCCAAATACCTTAAATGCCCCTTTCCATCCATTAGAGATTATCTATTGTTCTAAAACATGGAAGATGAGTGAAATTACAATAATTTTTCTCAAATCTTACATTGTTGGAAGCATAAACACATTTTCTTTAAAAACTAATCAATCAATAATGTGCATATTCAAGTTTGTGCTGTTATGCCTATGTGCTTAAAACTTCTTGTAAATCAATAATTCTTCTTATTTTTTTTCAGTCCCTCAACTTCCACTGAGTGTGGACTATCGCTCCCCTGTGTCTCATTTTGTTCCACCGGCTGTAGAATTGTATGCAGCCAGACACAAACCCGAAATAAATATTGGTAAGTGATAGCTAATTTTAATTGTAGAAATACCATTTTAGGATTAAATTTTGAGTAGTTAATAAGAAAAACTTATTAGTTATATGCATAGCACAAAGATTTTTGATTGAAATTTTGTATTTTAATGTTAATACTTAAAACCTTAAAAAGATATACGCTATAGTATTGTCTCGCTTTTTATTTATGTTTCATGTGTGAAGCATGTTTGTATTTTTTTTTTAATTTGCATATACCATGAGCCATCATAGCTGGAATTCTCAATATTTGCAATTGTTCACATTTCGATTGTTTTGCTTTTGCAAAGCCACACTACAATTTGTCTCTAGTCTTGCTTAAACGCTCATGGTATTGGTTCCATCATGGGCTGTTTAATCTTATTTATTTTATTAGATTTAAAAGAAGATAGAAGATACAAAATTCAAAATAAACAAAAAATTGGGTCTATATTTTATTTCTATAAACTAGTTTTTAGGGATTCTGATTCTTAGAGGAGAGTCTCAATTCTAAGTCTGACCGTAAACTTAGCAAATTCAGAGAAAATTTTTACTGTCTGTCAAATGAACAAAAGATTTCGGCAGGTAGAGTTAGTTCACACCTAAGTGATGAACAGTTGAACACATTTTAACTTGCCTTTCGACCTCATATTGTAGTAGCTTTAGTGTAGTAGTATTTTTATTACCCAATTGCATACTTTTTGCCTACCTTTTTTTAAAACAAAAAGAGAATATCCTGAGCTTCATAGTGTGATTTATAGTCTGAGCATGTGTGTGTGGGATTGGAAGAATCAATAGTAAGTGAAACAGAAGTGTGTTTCCAATAAAGTTGTTTAGTGGAATGTAACATAACTTACAAATAGCTTAATAAATGATAGACACTTGAAATGTGAGAGAGAACAACTGTGTAACGTGTTCTCTTCTCTCTAGAATCAATGTTAGATTATTTATTTTATTACTTAAAAACCTTTTATTTAGTGAATGCCTAGTAGATAGACACGGTAGATAGATGCATGATTTATTCGCTTTTTTTTCGCGTTAGTTGCTCCGGCGACGCCCGTCAAGCGTAAGCGCGGTCGGCCAAGGATCGATAAGACCAGCCCGGAGTACTTGGCCAATTTGGCCGCGAGAAAACAGGCCAGGGAGATGGGTATGTACGCTTGTAGGAATTTGCTTTTGAATAACGAATGGTGCTAATTCCTGAAACTTTGTCTATGGAACCGTATTTGGGATTTGTAAGACTCGGTTTGTTATTTTACTGTGCCGCATATTTTAAAATTTTAATTTATTGTGGCAAGATAACACCTAAGTAACAAGAATAAAGTTTTGTCGCTTTGACTAAAAGTTATGTTTAACCTACAACATCTATATAGAATACAATATTGAAAGAAATTGTCTAATTTGTTTCTGCGCATAATACTAAGCTAGTGAATTTTGGTTTGCAATTGTTCGTTGACATCCGAAAAAGCACCATTTAAGAGACAGTAATTAATAATTTTGTGATTTTCATATGCTATTTGAAACTGCTTTTTTTAGCTCCCTTCAAGTTTTTGTAATTGTTAACTGAAGTGAAATTTCTAACGCTGTTTTGATAATAAACTTGTGTCACAAGCGCAAAGGAAAGATGATGATGGCTAAAGAGGTTTCGCTTTTGTGCACTGCCCGCGCAATATTTTTGATATTTGGATTGTTCATAATACACATACATATCATAGTAATAATGTGTCTCAGTCTATTTTAAAAGTAAAAGATTAACCAAGTTTTTCCATTGTTTTGTGTTAATGCTTGTTTTGAACTCATTTATTGGTAAATGCGAAAGGTTATTTAAAATACATCCGAGATCTTGAAGTTTATACAGACTAGGGTTTTCGTTTTTCTCGTTTGAACCGCTTTATTAAATTCTTTGAAAGGCGAAGTCTACTTAAATATAAAGCTAATGTGTTGTAGCTTTCCAAATTTGATTTCTAGTGCAACATTTTAATCGTTTCGTTCCATTGTTGCAGCCGCAGTAATGTCCGTAAATAGCAACAGCAATAGCAATAGTCAGGGGGACTCGGCTGAGAAGAGAAAGAGAGGGAGACCGCGCGTCGACAAGACGAGTCCGGAATATCTCGCGAGGAAAAGGGCTAGGGAGCTGGGTTGGTATCATTTCATTTAATAATTATTCATGTAGTTAGTTGCCGATTTGTTTTTTTTTATCTGGGAAGTAACCGTCATCCTAGGTTTTTATCCTATTTAGTCTATGGGCTCAGCAAGTGTAGATCGGCAGGCCCTCATAATATACGCTGGCTTCGGCTTTAGAGAGAGAAGCGCATCTCTTACTTGCTCTGATGTTAGAAGATAAAGCCTTTCACGGGGAGAGGAGAATTATCTCTCGTTTCTTGTTCTTGTCGACTATGGTTGCGCATGAATATTCTTTGTTGTGTAATTTTGAGTCTATATAAAATAATTTGTTTCAGAAGCATTGGAACGGAAAGCGAAAAAAGAATTCAGAAGGAGGAACACAGCAGGTAAGATTATTTGGTCATATATGTTTATTCAAATCCTTAATTAACTGTGCAAAGAGCCATCCTCTGCGTACTTGATACTGGAATGTAAAAGTTTTTAAATGTATATCTAATAAAATAAAAGTGCGTGCGTACAAAGTACATATGTCAGAAGTGAAACTTTTTTGGCAAACTAATTTTTAACTCGTGTTCATATCATACAAATCTAAAACTTAAGATTTCCTAGACTTAGAGCGAGGGGAAAAAGGAAAATATGTTAGGAATTTAATGAATTTAACTGTCATTAAAATATTAAAAGTGTCGAAAATGAATACAAAATTTATTTTTTAAATGTATTTCTTGGATAATAAAAACACGTGGCATTTTAACTTACAATTTGTTATTTGAGATTTCAATAAATTATTTTGCATGATAATATAAATACTAATATTTCATAAATTCTCTTCCTATAATGTAATTAGCCCTTCTCGCTCTCTATCAATCGGTCTCAATCGCTCTCTCTCTTTTCTTAAACAAAAACGCTGCACATCTTCGTGACGTTCCGTAAAAATTTTACCCTCATGCGCCTAAAGAAGTTTCATTTCAAAAATCTATGCGGTTCCAAACTATATACCACTGTACTAAATTAATTTCATATCTTTTTAGACGTTCTAACGTGATTACTCTAACATAATCTTTTGCGTTGATTGAAGGAAATAAGATATACGCTTTCCTTTATGTATCAAAATTATGTTTCTAAATAGAATTATAGAAATTGATAAAAATAACACTAATGATTACGTTTGTGATTTGTCTGTAGTCCAGCGCCAGTATACTGTATACGTATATATATGTTTTGAGTTCGATCATAAATGGATATTAAAAGCCAGTTAAACGTTGGACCAAGTCGTCATAACGATATCTTTATTTAGTATCTTTGTCCAAAGCGAAATCCAAAAGCTCATTGGCGTCGCGGGTCAAAAAGACCAATCATAGTAAAATGGGGGGTGTGAGGAAAGTGGGTGAGAGAACCCCCTCGAAGGTGGTGAGGAAAAGTGATGTGGTTATGCGGAGGAATGCGAAATTTATTAAAAGAAAAGGTAACGTTTAGTGCATGGGTATGGTCTTGACAGCTTCGCCCGGACTGAGTTATTAGCAAGTCTTTAGTTGTAACATTTTTCATTTAGGCAAAAGTGCTTTTTATTATTCTTGGATGTTACAATAAATAAATCGGACAAACGACGAGTACACTTCGTACTATAAATCTTAAACTTACTTAACTTAAATTATATACAACAAAAAACAAGATATTGCCAAACATGCAATACATAATATATGCAAAAAGGTTAAAACATTTACAAAAGTAAAAATCAATCAAAATTTATTAAATACATTTAACTAGTTTATTTGGACGAAATAAATACTAAACACGTGTTAATTTAGTCCTAAAGAAACTTAAAAAGAATAGCGCCATCGTTGTAAGATTCATAGTAATAATGAAATAATAAAGAGGAATAATTTCATAAATAAGCATGTTTTAGATAGTTTTTTTTATAAACAGGTAAACCAATGTTAAAATGTAGTTAAAGGTGACGATTGCATGATAAGTTTGTCATAGATTTTGATGCTTAAATTATAATTTGCGTTTCTTGGTAGACCATTTTTACACCTGTAATGTTTGATCGTTAGTAGGAGAATGCTTCTACGTTTTTATAATAAAATATATTTGAATGGGTAAAATTCATCAACAATAATATTATATAAGAAATCAATGTTGAAATTCGCTAACATGTTTCTATTTAGTGCGAGTACGTACTTGAAAAATGCGCACGTAACAATGGACGGAGGAGGTCATTATGTATTATATGAACAATTTATATTTTTGTGTATAAGGATTTTATTTAGTTTCTTGCATTGATAGAAAATGTAATTTTTCTTTTATTCAAGAGTTAATTTCATACAGATTCAGCCGCTTCTTCTTCGGCGGGAGAATCCACGCCCAGAGTGAAAAGAAAATACACGAAGCGAACGCCAACTAAGAAAGATGGGGTGAGTACGTTTAGTTTTATACGGAAGTCTTTTTTAACTGAAGGTTTTTTAAAGTTTTCTAGCATTTATATTGCCTTTATTTGTTGTATTTGATTTGATCTTCTAGAATTCCTCAACGGATAGGGTGAAAGGGAAGAGAGGCAGACCCAGAAAGACCGATCAGATGAACAGAAATCCACAGGAAGGAAGTGAGTATTTTTACTGTTGCTTCAGCGGTTCAAAGATTGTCCAATGCGTTATTTTATCTCTTTTAATGAGTAATATTTGCAGACAATCAGTTTTACATGAAGAGTTATAATTTGTTATGTTCATGGTTGCCATTTGTATCCAGAAATACGTGTTCGGAACAACCTGATGCCACTAAACACGGAGCCCATTCCGGTGGACAGTGATGATGAACCAGATTTGGGTATGTAACGGGCTGCTATAACTTTTATCTCGGGAAAATTGAATACTAATTGTAGGCAAATGACGCGCGAGAGATGACACAATTTTGGCTTTGTGGATTTGTCTCGTTACCATAGACAATTAATCGTTATAGAAGTTAGTGACGATGCCGTTTCGCACAAGATGAAATCGGTTTATTTCTTCTATCTTATGTATACTTAAACTCTAAATGGATATTGTTTTTGTGAATCGGTTAGTGAATCGAGGAGGATAAAAAATAATCTTTAATCACAACTGTAAAACTAGACTAGTTATTTTAACATGTCTACTCGTAAAGGGAAAGAATTAATTATTTAAAAAAAATATTGTATCGAAGAGTTTCTTGCTAGATACAGAAATTTGTGTACGGTTCTCTAAACTCTCTAAGTAATGAACTAAAACTTTAACCGACATAATATGCAACTATTGGATATACAATATTTAGACGATTTTGGTATTTCGAATGTTAATAGTAACTTATACGGGTTTCATTATTTTTTGGATCTTGCTAAATTTAGACTAGAGAAATCTGAAAATGAGGAATGTCTAATCACTGTCCAGGATCTCCGAGTCAAGCGTCTGATTCGTTAAGTCTGGACGAGAATCTTCGGGCCTTGAGACACATACACGAGAAATACGCCAATATTGATAAGGTACGCGTAAAAGATTATTTTTTATTAAAATGTAATATGTGCTATTTTATGGACTTTATAACTGCATTTATAATAATAATGAAGCCACTTTAATTCCATACTTTAAAGATTACAAATCAGATGAGTGCTACTTATGGACCCGTTTTAGGTAAAAGCCTCCTCCTGGACTTTCCAATTGGATCTCTTCTTTGCTTTCTACGTCCAGTTCTCCCCAGAAACCCATAAGATGTCGTCGGCCAATCGCTTTTGTGGTCTTCACACATTTCTTTTTCCTGGAGGACTCCTCCAGCCGGTTGGCTTCGGCGGTCCAGTCTATGTCTGTACATCTTATAATATGGCCTGCCCATTTCCGTTCCAGCTGTGAGGCGTGGGTTAGCGAGTCAGTGATCTTAGTTTTCGCCCTTCGCGGTCCATTGCTCCATGCCCACTATTAATTCGTTCCATGTAAAACGAAAATCTTAGCGATTAAAAAGTATTAGACTCAAATAAAGCCTTCTGACGGTATAATAATGATAACGGATGAAGCTTTTGCAGGACGATTTGTACGAAGCTCACCTCCTGGCTGCGAACTTCAAGAAGCCCCCCATGGACCAAGTTCAGCGGCTGACGAGGGAAGACGACGACGTACTCTCCGTTCGGAGCTCGGAAGGTGAGTCGGCCGTTAATGGAATGCCTGTGTCCAGGGTTTTCAAGAAGACATTCAGAAATCTATTTAAACGATTACGTTCTTCAGGTGGGGCGTCTGTCAAAGAATTGGAGACGAGAGTGGAAAAGTTGGAGGACAGTTCCAATTCAGATTCCGGGAGCAGCAGTTCCGGTTCTGGTGAGTCTTCCTTAATAGCCGCATAGTCTTTTCTCCTTGTCACTCTCGTTTCAATTTGAATATCTCTCTCTCTCTCTGTGTCGGTAACTTTTATCTGTGTATCGTGATAAGATGAATAGTAAAATCTGGCGCCAATAATTTTCCCCCACCAATTTCGGTCCAGCACTTGCTGTGCTGTGTATATTTTTGAGGACGATTGACGCGATCTTTTGTCTTCGGTGTAACCGATCACAATCGGCTTCTCTAGGTTCTCGTTGCCCCTACGCATCGTGTGACCCGGGTACGAAATGATGCGTCGTCGGCATATAGTTGATAAACGGATTTTAATATGGAGATGGATAAGGATCGATGCAACGGTCTACTGTATTTTTAACATCTGCCTCCAGTATCATATTTCAAAAGCGTCACTCCTTTGCCTATCTGGGCTAAGATTGTGCACGAGTCTGCTCCATTTAGGAAGATAGAAAATACACGGCAGTCAATAAGGGCACGGATCAGTCTGATTCTGGTTTCGATACCGATTCATCTCCCTTGAATATGTTTCCTAAACGTGTCACAGCATCTTTCGCCATCCCAATTCTCCTTTTAATCTCGGGGACAGGCTGCCATCATTTGCGATCTCGAGTACACATAGCGTTTGACAATATCGATGCGTGGGATTTTGCAAGTGACATTCAAGAGTTTTCTGGCTCGATCCACTGTCATCATTTTGGTTTTACCTTGTTCCACTTTTTTAGCCAATTTCATTAGAAATAGTGATATACTTATTTGCACGTACTGATCACAGGCAGTTCCAGTTCCGGCTCCAGTTCGTCGTCCAGCTCGGATAGTTCCAGTTCCAGCAGCTCGGAGAGCGAAGGAGAAGAGGAAAAGGGAGAAGAGAAGGAGCCCACCGAGCTCGACTCCGTACAGAACACCAATGATGATAGGTGAGAAGTGAAGAACATCTTTTATAAATCGCTTTGTGATCTTAAGTCTCTTTCTGGCCAATCGTGTTTACGCCGTGATGAAGAATGGTTTAATGGTCTTTTGGTGAGTGTACGTAAACCTGAATTGTTTCATCAAATACATTTTGTTTCACCTTTATGATTTTCGTCGCGCTAGGGTTGTCTTTAGTCAAAGAAAATATATTTTTATGAATAATGTTTCAGATCGTTCGGCGCCTGGTCCCACGGTCGGTCCGTCCAATCCGGGACCAACTCCGACTCCGGGTCCGATTCGGATCCCGAGAGGGGCGGCATTCCGGGGCCGATCCCCGCGCAAGACGAGATCAGCGAGAGCGAGAACGAGTCGGCCGATAAGAGTTTTCAGTGTCATATTTGCAAGAAGTGGTACTCCACGCGGGTGACGCTCAAGTGAGTTCGACGTCGCTTTTATCGAAACGATGCCTTTTCGATGTATCGCAGTGCTCAGACGGAACCGACTCGCTTCCGCAGGATCCACCGACGCGGCCACCAGTCGCGCGGGGGCGGAGGCCGGTCCCGCGCTCGGTCGTCGGACAAGTACGAGTGCGACTGCTGCAGCGCCACCTTCGCCAGGAAGGAGAAGCTGTGGGAGCACAGGTCCGTCTCCGTCGCCGCCGGTACGTAGAGGTCCCCCGAGCGACGGAATAGTCACGACCCCTCCCGCTCCTCCTCGACAGGGCCGAGGCGCACCGCGGCGCGATGACGGTGCGCTGCGAGGTGTGCCGCAAGTGCTTCGAGGACGAGGCCGAGCTGGCCCGGCACGACGCCTCGCACACGGCGGACGAGCGCGCCGGCCGCTGCTCGCTGTGCGGCGCGCAGTTCCCGCGCTACGAGCAGCTGCGGCGCCACGCGAACACCGCGCACCCGGCGCCGGCGCGGCTGCCGCACGCGTGCGCGCAGTGCGGCAAGCGCTTCTCGCACGCGCACTCGCTCACGCGCCACACGCACAACCACTCCAAGCAGCTGTACCGCTGCGTCGTCTGCAAGGTGCGTCTCTCGTTCGCCCCCCTTCGAGCCTCGGAGCCGAGACTAACGACCTTCCTCCGTTGCAGGCCTCGTTCGAGCGCGCGGACCAGCTGGCCCAGCATCTGAACAGTCACCTCGCCAACTACAAGCGCCTCAAGCGATAGGCCTCCGCCCCTCTCTCGAATGTTGCGACTCGCTGAGATCCCTCCGGGCCGGTATTTCGTGTTATTTCTAGTCCGATTCGTGAATCTTTTTTATTTTTCAACTTCCGAGTACCGTTCGGTTCTATTGAAACTAAAATTAATGAAATATTTTTTTAGACTTCCTCGATATACCTTAATATTTTTAGTATATATTCCTGCTATTTTAGCTTTATTGGAATTGAAATTATGTTACCGAGTAAACCAAACGTTTGTCGACATCAAAATGTAAATTAACCGAGTTCGAAAGGAGGGCGTTATCGCTTCGTCGGAATCTTTATCTTCGATCCGTTCGTTAGGATCTTGGCGCTTCGTAACGACGTACAGTTGATGTTTTGTGCGTTTTCCAAAGTCGTGTCGATCCCGATTATTTACAAAAGTATTTATTTCGACGGCGGACGTGTATACAGGGTGAATAAATTGTATTGTTTGAGCTGAACGAGAAGCTGTTTTGAAAAACGCATACACATTTATAGATTATGATGTTTAAAGTTTTAGTTAAGTACGTGTTATTAAGCTGTTTATAGGCGGGTTATAAATGGGCAGATTTAGGCCTTTTTTAGACATTTCTATGTTTTGACTATACAGGCTGTCTCTATTACGGATTTCATCTCTTTATAAAAATGTCTAGGAATTTCATATCAATGTCTCAGCTTCTTTCTAAACTACGCTATCGAGTTCGTTATGTCTAAAGTGAACACCTGTATAGTCCAAATATGTTACGGTGAGATAGTGAAATTGGGATTTGTGAAATGTTCCTAAATGCAACGCGACTGATATTCGTTTGTTACACAGACGCGTAAACAAAATTGTATGTCATTGTGATGTGTCATACGGCAAGAATTATTGTCAGAAACTCGAAGGTATTATCAAGACTAAATATATCGGTAACAATAAAGTTACCTTTTTTAGTTAAAGGCTTAAGGGTCATAACCGATGATAAATGTTCGTTATATTTAGATATTAGACCCTAAGCGTGTACGATGACCAAAGTGAGTCTTGTCTAACACCAAGTTTTATAGAAATAGTAAATAACATAGAGTTGTCAGTTTCACTATCTCACTCTTAGATTAAGTCACACGACGCGACGTTTTTAGCTTATTCGGTGTTCGCCTGGAAACGAACGCGAACTGTAACGTCATTTGTAGTTAGGTAAATGTGTATTAGTGAAATGCGGGAATTAGTACAGGCCTGACGCCTTCGTTCGTATACGTACGAAATCGGCTCACGAACGCATTCATTTTCCATACAACTTGTATCTCTGAGGCGATGGATTCAGATTCCGGCCAATGAATTATTCCATCTTTTTCTATCACCTTCTAGCCATTCAGAAAGTTTAGCCAATTGTTTTCGAGATTGTTGTTGAGATGTTCAGGTCTGTAGCCTTGAAATATTACAGAAATTATATGTATTGTATATAAAAATATATCGAATTATGTTACAGTCGCGTTCGCTTTTGGGAACTCAACTCGGCTATTGACGATAAACAGTCACAAACTATGGCCACAAATTGGTCAAGAGTCGAAATTGTTTATGAAAATGTCAACCGTGCACTCTTTGGATTGAGAAAAATCAACATTTTATGTAGATCGGGATTTTTCTAAGATTACCCGCGTCCGGTCAAGAAAACTGTCGAAACAAACATCGTTTGGGATTCAGTACTGCATGAGACATGACTCAGAAATGACCGACTTGACTGACATCATAGTAAGAACCTAAAATCTTATAAAGTACATTGTGGCAGTAGCCGGGTTGGGCTTTTGGACACGGCACTAGTCCCATGAAGTTAGACGATTTTATATGGGATAACCTTTGCAAGTAGATGAAGAACGGGATGCGAGAGCGTATTTAGATTTTTGAAGTGCCTTGCACTGATCTTACCCTGTCGGACCCGTTCGACTAGGTCACGTGAATCGACACGCGTAAGGAATGTTGTATGTTCTATTGATTTTATCCAAAGACTTTGCGAAAAGAGAACGTGTTTTAAATAGAGAGACCGAAATATATTTACATACGTGCGTGTACGTACAACTCGCGCGTTCAAATTGACTGGAGAAGCGATCGGCGCTTTACGCGCGAAAACTATCGAAGACCGACCTTAATAGTGCGGGCGTTGACCCAAAATAGGGTAGGTGTTTTGTCTCAATTTTTACAAATGTATGAAAAGGGACAGAAATTGTCTATATGAATTATGGATATCGAATCATTGTTAGCCGAGTGCTATGTGAACTGAGTTGCGAGAAATTGATGTATTTAAATATAATTTCATTGTTATATAATCTTTAAAGTAATTTTATAATTATCAATTATTTAAGAGTAAGTACGCTGCGCGGCAATTGCTCCGAGACGCTAGGATGAAAAGAATCCCGAACGCCTTGGCAAAGATATTTTTTGCATTTTTTATACTGGGCTTCACCAATTTGAGCGTCTCGAAACATTTACCACGAAGCGTGGTTAGGTGTAAGCTTTGTTATTTCAAAGTACGTTCTGCAGATGTTCCCTCTGAAAAGTGGATTTTTGATTTGACGGGTCTGATATAATTTATTTTTTACATAATTTTTATAATATGTCTTTAAACAGAATTTTGATATATGTTTGAGAATTAATTCTATCGACATCTATTATATAATGTATTTAATTGATAGACACCGCGGGAATATCCTTCTATTTTTGTTGCCGCGAAGTGTATTTTATTTTACAAATCTAAATACGCTCTGTGGGGCGTTATCGCGCGGGAAATGACGCGATTTTGCCGCGCTTTTCTCGAAGTAACGGGTGGAGTGCAAGTTGAGTTTTTTCACAGACACAATATTATTAATATTATATTAAATATAGAGTTTTATTTAAAATTGTCTTTCATTTCACAATAACGAAACCCCTCCCGGATTTATATTTTTTCTTCGGGATTGGAACATGGATACAGTTTATAGGAAAAAGGGTGCAAATAAAACACAATTATGACTTTAACCAAGTCAGCTTATACTATATTATCTATATTATACTATGTAGGTACGGTGTAATACATAACCTATTACATAACGGGCGTTATAACTAAAAATACTTTGAATATGTCACAAGCCACGCCCTTCAGTCTACTATAAAGTACACAACTTATCAGACCCCGACAAAGGCGAGACTTAAATGATTTTTCTCGAATGCTATTTTGGCATTAACTCGAACTAAAACTTAGTCCTATGTCTGTACTTTAAATCTGTGAGACTTCTGGGCCAAGGGGCCAAGTTGAATATTGGTGTTATTTATTAAAAATAATATGAATAAATTGTAATATTCAATCATAACGCCGTTTCGTTACATAAAGAGGCGAAAATTCGTACTTTTGACATTTTGATTTAAAACATGAGAAGACAAAAAGAATTGCGTTTAAAGCAAATTGTCAAAAGTTCGTCGCTCCATAACGTCAAACATAACAAACTTCAAATTTTGGAGGGAACAGATATTCGTCGGCGTATTGTGGCCAAAAATACAGATTCCTTCCAAAACTCATAAAAATAAATGTTTTTTGAAAACATAAACAGGTTAACATTTTCAACAAAAAACAAGCAAAACTTACGACTAACTTAATCGCCTACATTATACTAATGTCTAATTAATATGGGAACCAAAAAATACTTAACGGGGTAAAAAAATAAATTAACTTTTATCCTAGAGTCGGTTTTCACTGTCTTCTGTAATTGCCGACCGTAGCATTGAGTTTCGAACGATAAAATGGCTGAAACTCGAAAGGAAACGTCGAAAGATCAAATTATGTTCAAGGAAACAGCATTATTCCAGTTAAGGTATGCCTGGTTCCAACCAATTCATCATTCGCCACATGCTGTCACAGAAATAGCATCACTTAAGTAGATCACAAAAGTCGATATAAGTATAGGCGTAATAAAATTTCAAAAGAGGATTTTCACTTTTCACTAACACGTTCATGGTCGCAGAATTTTCATTTAAGTTCGAAGATCACATACATTTCATTTGAAACGAAAAAGCTCAGAGACTATGTGCGTTTAGTTTAAACAAACGGCAAAATAATAACGCATAGTGCAATAGTACGCAGTTTAACGTCGCCCAGGAATTTCACGAAAATACCTACAACATATCATGTAAGAACAAGTTATTAGAATATAAACAAAAAGCATACTATTGCATTATGATGCTAAAGACAACATCCATGGACGGTAGAAACGAAGGGAAGGGAAATAGGAACAACAAAATCTGCTTCAATCGCCTCCAATTCTTTTATCCTCTATCAACACACAAAAGAAAAGGATTGAAGATATAACTTGGAAAATGTCGATACTGTCTTACTTAATGCTCCACTTAAGTTTTAATTCTCTGAGACTGATTTGAACTAAAAACAGCAAGCAAACGGGAGAAAACATTTTTGTTTTCTCCATAGGTTGGTCTACCCAACCTGAGTCTGTAGTTATACAAACAAATGTACAGTAAATACCGTTATAACACGGTACTCTTATAACGCATTTTTATATTACGCGATTTCAGTACCACCTATAACACGGGTATTCACCCATATAACGCGGGGATTGCACACGATATGTTTCTGTACTGTGACATTTATAAAGAACTGTACGCATATATTTCGTTTAAAACATAGTTTTTTCTTAATATTCGATTTATATCTCCTTTAACGAGAAAAGTTAAACGTCAATCATTTGTACATAACGCGTTATATGGGGGTCATAGAAGCGCGTTATGCGAGAATATGTACCGTGTTATAGGAAAGATTATTGTACTTTACAATTTGGACAAACTTTGTAATTTTATATTAATATGCCAAAGTTTTACGTATACTACGAATGATATCGTTAATTTATTGCATCACATATAACTTGAATATACACTCAATGAAAGTGATTCATAAACTCTTTTGCATGGTTTGCGTATCGCACAGATTTGCCAAGTCATAAATATCAATCGTAAACTCCATACTAGCGGTACGAAAACTAAAAACACTACAACATCTATTGCATTATTATTGCTGTGTTACGTTCAGTAGTTTTTAGTGAAAGTTAAGACAATAACATATATTATTTCTATGTTAAAATTAATTTTAATGACATTGGTCTTACAAAGGATGTGACTTTTATTCTAAAATTAAATTAATCAAATATCTCATTGATATTTCGTTCATTCAGATAGAATCGTGAAGAAAGCAAGTTTCGAGCTCAGCCGAATCCGCTGTAGCAGCTTTCGTCTTCAGCCTTCGTTCGACAAACTTATGCACTTATGAGATCTATTAATTATTTTTAATGATGACTAGTATTTTTCCAAGTCTTAACTTTAACTAAAAATACCGGAAGAGTTAAGACTAAACAATGAGACGATACCGTATTCATGATATTACATATAAAGCCGATTATGAACACAATTTTATTAATTAACGTAAAGTGGAAGTTTTTTATATTTATGTAATTTTTATGTTAATCACCGTGTTGAGAGTACATTTTTGTCTTAATATGCTGTTCTCAATTAGTCATTTTTATTTTTATTTAATCTTCCGTATCATAAACTAGAAAAGTAGTTCAGAAGTTTATATTGCAAGTTGTAGACACTTATAGCCTTGCTATCCATGACACAATTCTTGTTCGTTGGTAATAAAAGTATTTGTTAATATTATTTTTTTACAAAGAGAGCTTATATGTGATATCATGAAACTCGAAGGACATCTAACTATACAAAATTAAGTAAAAACAGAATTATAAAACAGCCTAGAGGCTATTATACGTTTCAAAAAATATCTTTTTTTCGAGTACCGAAATTTTCTAAGCACGCGACTTTTCACTGACCTCTTTTATTTGCTGACTTCTTTGCCTTTAAAATACAAATATCTTATTAAAAAATGTTTATGTTCATTTGCATGACAGTAAATTTTACAGTATTTCGTATCTTGTAATAACTCAAAAAAACTGATTACCAATATTGGATAAGGTTATTCTTCTCATAAGAGTATTTTAAAAAACTGCTCAATGTAGTTTTATGGAATCAGCAATATTTCGAGATCAGTGAATCTACGAATGAACACAGAACATCGATTCTAGCATTTTCTAAAACAAAAAACACTAGTATTTAAGGAAATAAATACATTGAGATACGATACGAACATTTAGTGATTTCACGACCTTGAATACGTATGAACAGACATAAAACATCATCCGTCATCAAGTGTGATCGTTTAAATAATGTATTTTTCATACTTTTACCATATATGGCTCTTTTACAAGGCACCTTAGAGATTGCGGAACTATTAAAACGTAATCGACTCATATGGATATTATTAAAGATGGATTGTTGTTAGCATCGTTTCGTGTTTGTGATTGTTTAGTGGTTTCCTGTGTATTCAAGACCATGAAATATAAAATCTATAATCTCTACGAGATTATATCTTGGTGTTATCTTTCACTCGGTTAGACGGTACGAAGGACTCAAACGAACAGTTTGGCACGTTGTGCATTAGAAATTATACATTCACTACAAAGAAATGATGCATCAATTATATTACCGAACTGTTGTTTCGCTATTATTTATAAACTAAAATGTATTCTTACTAAAAGGTGTTTTATAATTCTCACCGATAATTACAACAGCGTTTTTCGATATTTGTGTCGGGATTGATTCATAGAATAAAAAAAGCTTTTCTTTCCTCGAAGACTGAAGTCTGAAGTATGAATGTATAATTTCCAACAAACCCAAAAGAGAGTGCGTGAGACATTAAGTACTATCGCCAGTCTACTTTATATTACATATAAGGATTACAATATATTTGGTGTTCTTTGGGACTTAAAATTATCTTAACACTGGACCAACACAATAAAGCAACGTAAACAAACACACAAATTTCATAGCCTATCTAGACGATAAAATCCATATTTGTATATATATACTTTATATTGAAATTTACCTAGCTAACACGTTATATACTTCGATTCTTAACTACCGTAAAGTAAGCCTTATTTATCGTACCTCGAGGGAAGAGACAGCGTAAGAAAGGCAACGTCAGTGGACAAAGCCACGACTCAGCACTAGTCTAGCTTACATACGGATATACAACTCTATGCTACCGGAAAGCGATTATAGGCAAATGTATGCTAATTGTATATGTAGTTATAGCTAAATTTGTCTATCTAACTGATATATCTGCTTTATATAACTGCCTTGACGCGATCGAGGAGCAGCCACGACGGATATCCTTTGATCCTCAACACACCCCGGTCATATTAGGACCTGCTCCAAATTGCTGTAGACCTGATGCTATCTTTTAAAGAAAGCAGCATTTTAAGCAACTTCCAAAGACCCTTTGTCGTGGCGTCATCAAAATGCTCCGTTTCACGTCAAAATAATACCACGTCATAGATTGACGATGAAATTGACTTAAACGATTCGTTACTTAACTCACGAACTTATGTTAATCTTAATATAGATCTCTAGCGATATGTCTCACAAGATTCGACTACATGCGTAAGGTTCCACGTGCATTCATTTACAATTACCGGAAATCACTATTTTTCTTTATCTGGACTAGTCTAGACTTTATCTGAGAGCATTGGTTGTCACTGTCATTGCATTGCATTTGCACGAGTCAATTGTCTTATCGCGCTATTTGTTGTTAGTCAATTTGCTATAATTGTAAATTTTTGCACGTAGATAAAAATTAACATCAATAGAAACAAATCTACGTAAATCAACACCGACAATATAATATATAAAATACATTTTTTTACAAAATATCGTAGACAGAGAGTGTCTCGTTAAAAAGTTTCAAAAAAGATGGTATCACGTAGATGTCGCTACGCTAGACTTTGACGTATGATCGGCAGAGTTTAACACACGCAGGAAGTGTTTACGCGAATAAAAGAAGCATATTTTCTTGCTATTGTCTGTATAATCTTTTTTTTTATATGTTACGTGTTCATATAGATTCTGCATTAAATGGGCCTTGGGGTGATGTGTTGAGCAAAAAAACCCTTGAAAACAGTTCTGTTCGTTTAGTATTATTATACAAAGAGAAAAATGTTGGGTTTGATCTTCAACTCTACCGACAATCGCCAGCCTCGCGAAATAAACGAAGACGCATACATGAAAAAAAGAGCAAAAAGTTTTAAGTCGAAATACCATCGACCACTCAACCTACAGTAAATGATTATATACCTTATATCCTATAATAAATATATATCTTTCTTATAAATAATCTATTTTCTCTACACTTTTTTCTATTTCGTCATGTTTGTAGTTCCATGTGTCCTTTATATTAAATACACAACCTTTTTTTATTATATAAGTTGAATTGTTATGAATTTGGCAATATTGACGTCCAGAGAAAAATCTATATTATTATCACTGGACGCTTTTGTGAAGCACCTGCAATTCGTAATCTGCTCGGATGATAGCGACGTACTTTTGCTAAGTCCAGATCTGAACTTATCATCAGCGGAGGTAAAGAGAGAGGAGGCGTCGGTCGATGCGGCCACACAAGCGTCCAGTCGTATAGATTCTATTCAATAATATTACTTTCCTATCTCCGACCAGATATAAAATCTTAAAAAACTTTCTCACTCTCGCGTACCATCTAGTTCTATTAAACATTTTTCCAAAAATCTACATTTTCCACTAATCTTAATATACTTGTGCACGGTGGTTCGGTATCTTTATTATAAACCAGCAAAAATTTCTCGTCGCAACCATTTTGGCCCGCGTGGTACGGTTAACCTACCTTACAATAAGCTTACATTAAATAACTATATATTCTCTAAAAAGTATTCATCTTTTATCATAAATGCATTTCCATGCGATCATAAGCGGTTACAGAAATAATTTGCTCGACTGACTCACATTGTTCATATTCATTCGACGAAGCGAAGCCGCCTCCGCCGCAACCCACTGCTTCAGGACTATATTTCAGCTTAAACGGAACGCGTCTAGAAATTCCCAAAATTAAATCAGCTGTTGGAAATTTATAGATTCAAACATATAGTGTCTCGTTCCCAAAGCGTCAACGTGCACAATGAATCGTAAGAAATATATACCTACTTAAGTAGTACTTAGCAATAAGATAGCGTTCGACGTGACGGTAAGGTCTCAATTTAGTTTGCACTTTAGAGGGACAAAGCTCCGATTAAGTTGACACCTTAGGCTTATGTAAAGCAAATCTCTTCCTGGAAATAACGTGAAGAAAGAAAGAAATGAAATCGCTAGTATTGGGGCGATGGCCAAGTATCATCGACATGGTGCCGCTTTGGGAGTGAAGTAGAAGTGAGGTGAGGGAGTGAGCTAGAGCCACTCCTTGAGCTGGCAGCAGCAAGGGTCAGGCGGCGGGGGCGCGCGGTGTCCTCACACCAACAAACTCGGGGCTAACCACTCCTCCTCAGCGATCTGCAATTCAATGTTTTATTTTTAGACTAAAGCTTATCCAACATACAGCAGCGGCCATATATGTTTACTCACCGGCTGGACTTGGAAGTGCTGCACGGGATAGTGCAGCAGCTGCGGCGGCTGAGACATGGCGGCCACTCCACCCACTCCCCCTACTCCACCCCCTAGTGCCCAAGGGAGCTGCACGCCCCCCATGCTAGAAGGAGGAACACTGTTTCTCTTTAGGACGCGTTCGATTTTATAGTGGATTAACATTAAACAATTAAAAATAGTTTACACAATATTTATTTTGCATGAAATTATCGTACTAAAATATATAATATTGTCTAATAAATATTATGAAATACGACAACGCCAAGAGGAAGCAAGATATAATCAAAAGAGTGAACAAAATATATTTTTGACAATTGACGGTGCGAAATAAAAATATTGTTTAAGAAAACACGATGCATAAACCCCAGATTAACCCATAGGAAGGAATTTCTTAGTATGTTTGTAACACTCACCCCATGTACTGCTGCTGGTACCCTGCGAACTGTCCATAAGAGTACCCCTGCACCCCTTGCATCCCTTGAAGGAAGCCCCCGAGTTGTTGCGGGTAAGTGTTGTACCAGTACGACGGCACGCCCCCAGGGTACGCGCCGAATGGGCTGTACGCTGTACCGCTCAGCTGGAATTGGGAAATACAGGCATTTGCTGAATCGGTCATACTAGTGGTATAGTTCTGCTAACTGTGAATGATTAAATAAGACCTTGTTCCGTGTGTGTTGTGATTGGTTTATCAATAAGGTAATATTGTTATTTAGCCCAAAAGACATGTCACGTGATTAGAAACCTAGATGTACGTACGTCGAATGATCTTCACGTACGAGGCGAGGGGACTTATTATAACAAGTACCTGGCCCTGTGGCTGTGCGTTGTTGGGGTCCCCAGATTCCTTCCCCCAAGAGCATTTAACTGGCTGTCCGTTGATGTCGGTGTTGTGAACTGCCACTATGGCATGGGTCGCACTCTCCTTCGTCGAGAATCTGAAATATTACAACTTTGCGATAAATGTTGTGCCTCCGCAGCCAAGTCGCCATATTATTAAGTCCAGAGATAGGAAATGTTATTTGTTAATTTGACATAATTTGTACCATAAATATTAGTATGAATAAAGCTTCTTCAACGGAAATAAGGGCGAATTTATAACATCATTTATATAACCTTTCGAAGGCTTAAATGGTAGTGGTACTTAAATAACTTAACCAAGTCAATTTTAGAAAAAAAAGTATACTCTTTATACAGTTTCACGCTCAAAATAACCAATGTTGATAAGTAAGTTCTTAAGGAGCTAGGCATATCCCTATTCTAAGCAAACAAAGCTGCGAAAGGTCTGAAGTATTTAAACCTTTAACTAACTGATGCTAGTGCAAACATTACAAACCTAATAAACGCGTATCCCTTATCTTTGAAGACTCTTATCTCCTGTATGGTGCCGAAGGGCTGGAACGTTTTCTGGATCAGTTCCTCCGAAAGCCCGGTGGTGAGACCGCCGCAATAGACCGTGCAATTTGTTGGAGAGCTCTGGTTGTACACCTCGTCGAATGTTAGAGGTTTTGAGTTCACTGAAGAATTTCAATGTGGGAGATTAGGGAGATTTATTTATTATAGTGTTGTAGTGATTCAATGGTCAAATATAAGTGAAAGTGATACTAACATCAAGTAGCGTAGTAGTAAGAATAAACCTATCTTTATGTAATCTAAAAAAAAAGCGTCCCGGCCGCGTGTGTCTGTATGAATGCGATACACTCAAAAAATGCAGAACCAATAATTTTAGTATGGTTTTCACTAATAGATAGTGCGGTTTCGTAGGAAGATTTAAGTTAGGTTAGGTATATTTCATTATTGTTTATGTAAAGTAAGTGAAATATAACAATTGTTGTTGAAGAGGTCGCAAAAAATCTTTTTAAAGTACACTAAATCAACGGCGCAGCTGCGGGCTGAAGTGCGATTCAAAGATACTTTATTTCTCAAAGAATAACATTGACTTAGATGTACATCGTGTTATCATATTATTATAAAATAAATAATTGCTCTGCAAATATTAAAATATATACTATGTAACATGTAAAGTTGATTTGCTGTAGTAAAAAAAAAAAAAAATAACCTGACATAGGTATGTATTTTATTTATGACTCATACATCTAAGAAGTTTGCCTACTATTGAGAAATTTGCGGTCCCAGGTTGTATTTTCTTTTAAACGTGTCAAACTCGTTTAAGTAAAGACATTGTCATGTCCTTAATCATTAATGACATAAACAGGGGTTTACAGCAAGGTAGGCTGTATTTAGCGGGTTTTGTAACGAACCGGATGTTAACAGGAAGATATTAGGCGCGCACCGGATATTGCGATCAACTGTATAGAGCTGTTACAACCTTGACGAAACAAATTATATAAGAGGTGAAAATGTGGCTAATTATGTCGTATATTTTTAACATTTCATTTAAATTTGGGGCTATAATAAAATACAATATTAATAAATAACTTAGTTTCTCGTAAAAACATTTTTTAAAACTAGAAATACGAATTTAATAGAGTTTAGTTTATTTGTATAACAACACAACTGATTTCACACAACAAAAATATAATTTAAGAATTCTACGCGTTATAAGAGGGTATGTACCATAATACAGCTGCTAATATGTGCTTGCAGCATAAATATCACATACGTTGTATCAACTCTATCTCCATCTTGATAATATTTCAAAATTGCTTGAACGAGGCAGAGGCTTTTAATTACACAGAAGCTTATCTTGAGACTCGTCTTGGAAACTTTGACTCATTCGGCTATTTAGTCTACTTGAGTACACGATTGCGTTTCGATATCCACTTGCGAGTTGCATTCAAAGTTGGGGCCCTCGTTGTGTGTGTGTGTATTAAGTAATATTTTAGAGAGCATCACGAGGAAACCATAAACGCAATCTCGAAATCAACTGGTCTAATATTGTAATAAGCGAAATAAGATTCCTAAAATAACATGTCTACGCTCAGCACGAGGGAAGTAATTAATCATTTATTAATTAAATGGCAATAGAACCCTGTCAGTCATGTTATACCGTACTAGGGTTGCCATCCGCTAATATTTAGTTAAATTTAATGTATTTAAGATGGAGATACATTTTCAAAGATACAAATTAAAACCAAGTCGGTTAGTTAAGATTATTTTAAAATATGTTTTAGAATAAGCAACAACAACACAATTTATAGATAAAAAACTACATCATAAACACTGTATTTGTACGTACTTTTAGTACACACTGTCAAGATGGACACATTAAAAGAGGTTATGTATTAGAAACTTAATTAAACCTCCTTTTAACCTAAATATTTGTAACAACTCATTAATAGGGCTCTGTTTCAGACGCTGTTTATGCGTCAAGACATGCCAGCCCTAACCAGAATTAGCATATTAATAATTCACAAAGATAGATTAAAGAGAATCGTCAATGCTCTGTTCCTTTGAGTTTACCCTAATTTGGGATTCTTTATCTAAGATATCATCACGAGTTTACGCCTATTTTCTACATTTACTACTAGGCTAATACAGGTGCAAAGGTACCTTACGACACTTCTGGGACCCTAAAGATGACACGTTTCTCTTAAGTGAAAATACTGATAGGTTCTGAACCTTTTTGGTTAACCACATTTCTTTGTCTGAGTTGAGATTTGTCTCGTTTGGTCTCGTGTCTCGTCATTTTAAACAATATTTTACTTTATAATTTACTAAGTTGATTCATATGTAGATAAATAAGTATTAAATGTGTTATAGGTTAACTCACATTCGTTCTTGGGCGCTGGCGGTTTTCTGGTCGCCCAGTTCGTCCGGATTGACCGCGAACCTAGCCACTGGCCATTCATTGCTGTTATGGCCGACTCCGCTTCCTGGAACACGTATTAATTCCTTAGATATATTTATTTTGTATTATTACAAACCAAATTTATGTGCTTTACGTTCCATGGAAAGAGATTTATATGGTTTTTAATCACTCAAAGAGTGGAGTTAACAATAAAAGATTGTATTGGAACTTCTGCAACGCTTATTAATTACATAACTCGATGTTTCAACCTTTCTGCTCAGACAATCATAGTCACTGACAGTCTAAATATAAAATTATCTAAAAACGTATGCCCAAGAACAAATGAGTCAGTGTGTAAAAATAAGACTTTAATAAGAAAAATTTGGAATTTATTTATACAATGTCATGTTATTTATAATTATAATTCATTTGCTATTTCTCGAGTATAGTTAATTTAGTACTATTTCCATTAGACGATCATGAAATCTATTTTGCGAAAAGCATCTTTGACAGAACTTTAATTCATTTTAATTTGATATCGCTATACAGAGATACAGAGAGTTGATCGTCTTTCATTCTTGATTTAGAGTTATATTAAGTTTCCAGTTTGCATATTTTATAACATATGCTTTAAGTAACTGTTTAATATTACCTATTTTTAAAGCTAACGGATAGGAGGCTCATCTGATGTTAAGTGCTATCGCCGCTCTTGGGAACTCACATTGCCAGAAGGCTCGCAGCTGCGATGTCGGCCTTTTTATAATTGAAGAACCCTAACTAATTTACACATACGATATACTCACGGATTTTTTAAGAAAGGAAACGAATCCATATCCTTTAGATTTCAGCGTCTGTGGATCTCTCACCACTCTGCAGTCACTGCAAACAAAATGTCATTTGAGAGATATGTTTTCCATAAATTAACTCATATATATTGTAAATATATGTTCGCAATCCGTAGGGAGTAATAAAACTAGACATCAGGACGAGATGAAACAATAAGAATAATGTACTGGATGTTTGCCAGTCGGGTGGCGCCACTGATGGCGATCGCAGACTGGCTCTCTGCTTTAATGATCTATTACATTCCTCTTATTTATTAATTTAAAAACAAACGTTTAAAAATTATGATTTGTATTTTTTTAATCTTAACACTTAACTTTTTCATTAACGTGGTATATCCTTGTATAGTAACATAATCTTAATTCATTTACAAGGTGACACAAGAAGTATATACTTATTAAATGCCAATAAATTATCCACTTCTACTCTAGCTGCGTGCCTGTCTTCGGGTGCCTTGAGTACTGTGTGAACTGTGTGAAGCCAACACAAACAGAAAAATATATGAATATTTGACCTCCTGTTTGTTCCTTGTCCTAGAAGACGTAATCTTGATAAGGTTTTTATACAATTTGTTTAAAAAGGCGACGATTTAGTATTTTTCTATTTCTGGACCAAATCCAAACCAAACTTAACTAAACCAATCTAAAAAAACCATCCAATTTGTTTTTGACGACTGATTTGGTGTTATGTTTTTTTGAAAAAAGAATTACCAATTACGCATTTTATTATATATGATAGTCAAAGATATAGGCCGACTTATCAAAGAGCGTTATTTAAAATCGCCATCACTAAGCTTATGAACCCGCTCTCAATGTAACACTACCCATAATACTTGCCAAAACTATATCTTGGCTGTAATACAGTTTTTTAGTGTCTTGTATATTGCAGTTGTATTAATATCACGTCTGGGACGAGGAAAATGATATTTGGTAAATTAAACATATATTTGTAAGAAGTCACCCTTCAATATCAACTTTATTAGTTTTTCAATTAATTTAGGATCTAACTGTATTAGATCTTTGTCATTTACGCGATTGCATAGCAAAATTAAGGTTTTAAGTTATTATCGATCCGTCGTTTGGATTTTACTTTATTATATTTAAAGTCATAGGAAATTAATTAGTTGGAGTTGGTTTTGGTTTGTATTTGGTCCAGAAATTGAAAAATATTAAATTGATGGTCGCCTTTTTTAAATAAAATGTAAGCAAGCCTGATCAATACGTCTAATCCTAGAGGTTAAGGAACAGACAAAAGGTCTAATTTTCATATAATTTTTTTGTTTGTGTCGGCAGCTTCACACAGTACTCAAGGCACACGAAGTCAGGCACGCAGCTGGAGTAGAAGTGGATATTTTATTGGCATTTAATAAGTGTATCCGTCTCGCTCGACCGTATAGCGTCTCGCTCGCACTAATAGCTGAGTAAAGAGGATGATAAAATTTTATGACCCCTTCGAGTAACTTTAGATAAGGTTCGGAATTTTGATTTTTCATTAAGAAAATGCACGCAATTTCAACTTCTACTGACATAAAAAGTGGCCTCTGACTAAATTATAGAACCATGAAGTATGCGTTTTTATTTGATAGCCTCATTAATAAAAGTATAATGATAAAATAGTTAAAGAGTGTTTAAGTTACGGGCAAACCATTATTTTTTGTATTTTATGGAGCATTTTACATGCAGCATGTATTTTGATTAATCTACGGGAAAGCGCATTATCCCTTAATGCTGGAGGTGTGGGTACCACAATCTCAGAGTGGTGTGGTGGTATACCGGTAAATGTACATAGAAACCAAAAAAAACACTTACGATATTTCTCCAAAGGGTGCGAAGGCGTCTCTTAAGCTCTGCGTCTCTATCTCTGGACTCAGGTCTCCGACGAAAATGTGGTAGTGCTCTGAAACAAGATATAATTACATTAAAATGTACTCAAGGCGAGCAGTTTGTTTGTTTGGACTCGTAGAACCGAATCCACGAGGGTGAAACTGCGAGGCACAGCTATGTAGCTAATTAATAAGTCATGCCTTTTCTTAAAACGTGTAAACTATCTGTGAGGAACCAGAAGAAACGATCTGATACAGAAGTATGGGTCGTCAGAGGTCAATGTCTGCTGTGGTCATGGAAGCCATATTTGAAAGAAATGTCCTTCCTGTGATGTATTTTTTACTTTAATTTCCGATAGTTGAATCCAGGACCGAAGACCTGGAGCGAAGACCGACCATATTGACAGATGCTTTGATCACGATATTGACATACACCTGCTTGTAAGAATGCACACAGTCAATTCTAAGTATTACGCAAATAGCTAAAAATTCAGTACGAAAAATCTGTACTTAAAAACCCTGTAAAACATAACATGTTTCAAAATATATAACATCTAACATAAGTAGATGGTATAAATTTTTTTCGCAAAAATCGCATCTGCCCCATGCCCCGCCGGGGGACGAGAGACTTGACACAGTAAGTGTTCTTACTCAAAACAGCTCTTAATAGCAGACTGTATTGTATAGAAAGAGACACAAATATGATTTTGTATTTTGTACGAGTGAGACAGAATATATAGCTCTGTCAATTCGCTGATGGAAACTATTGATTACTTTTAACTACGCTAGGGTTGCCACGAGCTACTTTAGATGGATCGAATCCAGCCAAGCGTGCATTCATTCTTTATATTATTTTATGGTTTTATTAACAAATAATTAGTAATTTATACTTCATCCACAGAGCAGTATTAGCGTAGTGATACCTAATCTAATATATATATTTTTTTTCAAAGACAAAAATGTGTATTCAGATGAACATTGCAAAACTTGTAGGAAAATAGGTTCATTTATCCAGTTATAATTTCTTTATTTGAACAAAGAGAGGGACCAATAAATATATATACTTTTTCAAAAATACAAATAAGTACCATTTTTCTACTGAATTACGACAGCGGCCTAAGCCCAAACTATTTCATCCTCTCTCCAACTAACCTCTTGCCCTGGCCATCTTTTAGCAGATATCTCACAACCTCCTCTCTACTCTACGTTGTGAGCGTGTTTCGTTAGGTTATGATTTTTGCCTATCAAGCGTTTTTTAACCTACACATTAGCAGCCTAGTTAATTTCTTTGCCTTTCACTCTTATGTGTGTTTTTTTTAGTAATTCTACCAGCTTTTCTTTTATTTCCATTTTATACTAGAATGTATACTTCAACTACAGAGCAAGCGTATCGCTGGAACTTTTTCTTGAAACCTTTTTAAATTTCTTTTGTTATCAGAAAATATGAATTCAGCAAACCTGATAAGTTACAGACAAAGATTTGTCATTTTGAAATGACAAACTTATTTGTAATTAATTTTGTCATGATTATATTTGTGCAAATCCGTTGCTGATGCCGACGTCAGTAAAGGTTAATAAAATTAGTAATCTACCACATAAACATGCTTCACAAAATAAGGTGGCAGCCCTAAGTGTCGGGGTAACTTCGCAATATAAATTGAATTGAGCCGTACATCGGATTATAATATCCTATATCCTTGAATTCGCAATCCTATACAAATTGTACTTCATTCATGATTTACTTGGAGCTGACTTATCCGAAATAACCTCTTTACGAATTCTAAATAAAAAATTGCTGAGCTGTCACTCTCCTCCCATTTGTATTTAGAAGAAAAGAGGGTACCAATTCTTAAAAGGCTGGCAACGCACCCTTGAGCTATCTGGGATTGTTAGTGTTCATTAGCTAATCTTATACTTAACGTCAGATAGGTATCCTGCCTTGTTCTATAAAAAAATCTGTTGTTCCTCATAACAAAAACTATTTAAATGGATAAAAATAAGTGCTGTTTCAGTCATATTTGTGTGCTTTAGTTAAAACAGCTTTAGTTTTTATATTGAGTTAAGTTCCTTGGGTTTATATTTTTAGGGGGGGGGGGGGGGGGGGGGGGGGGGGGGGAGAAAAGGGGGGGGGGGGGGGGGGGGGGGGGAGGGGGGGGGGGGGGGGGGGGGGGGGGGGGGGGGGGGGGGGGGGGGAAAAACCCCCCCCCCCCCCCCCCCCAAAAAACCAAAAAAAACAAAAAAACCGGGGGGGGGGGGGGGGGGGGGAGTTTTTTACATACACACGCACACAAGAAATATATATATTAAGATGATATTTTAAGACAAAATAATTCTTATAAAATGGTAATAAATTACAATCATTATACCAATTACAGTTAGCATTATCCGGGTGGGGGGAGGTTCTCGTGGCAATAGTGATAAAAGCTTTATAAAATTAATAAATTTTTATAAATGGACAAAAATAAGTATTGATCCTTTCCTGGCTTCAAATCTTAAAATTATTTTCTGTTAACGTTTGGTTCGTTAAACATTCAAACTGTACGGTAGTTCAGTTATGTCAAGTAATTTTTTACAAAAAATTTACATTAATTTCCTGAAAATTATGGCGTTAATTAATTAATCATTTGAAGACCAAGGGCGATTATACACGAGGCAATTAAAAGGGTGATATTGCCTGCTATTGCGTCTAAATGTGGTCATTACTTCGTCATACGAAAAATATAACCGTTAAAAAAAATAATAAAAAAAAGCTATAATAACCGAAATATAAACGCTATGATATACGATAATTCAAGCTTCATTAAAACATGAAATATCATTTTAATTGGTATCAACTTTTATACAATACTTATTTTGGAGAAACATTAATTTGTATTTTGATAATTGACTGAGAAAATTCTAAGACTTAGTAATTATAGAAGACTTGTTAAAAATGTATTCGTGGAAACTACATGTCATTTTGTTAAAATATACAAATACGAAACTCAGCTACGGTTCAGAGACCAAGTTTGCATAACAGCAACCGAATATCTTCTTTTTAACTTGAAATCTGGAATATTGAAACTTTTTCACAGCATTGTATTCTTTGCTAATAGCGTTTCAAACTCGTAAAAACTGCTCGCTGCTAAACAGCCTTAATAATTATAAAACTGGGTCACACCCGCACATAGTGTATACTATGGATTTGCATGCCCGAGTGGGGCTTTGGTTCGTTGCGTGTTAAATACGTTGATAATTTTTACCTGATTGCTTGTTTTTACCTGAAACCGTGGAGGTTTTAACCGAATTCCAAAAGCTTGAAATTTATTATTTTTTTCCGTTGAAGTTAGGCGTTGTATAGCGAAGCAACAACTCAAACCTTTTAAAGGATACGGATTACATTATGATTCGTTGAACTGAGCATAGTTACCGGATATTTTAAAACATCAATTTGTTTTTCATTTTCGCAAGATGTGGTGATATTATATTTTTTGTGTATATGTGTTAAATTTGTGAAGTAAAATTTTCTTGTATATTTTAAGCATACATGTTATTTTAGGACTTATAAATATGTATTAGGTAAATATGTACATTAACACTCATAAACACTGAAATTTGCCTTCCACTCCACCGGTCACCAGAAACTTCTCCAAGGTATCGGAACATATGCTTGCCAAAGAAGCTCAGGATCCTTTGGTATTACACTAGAGAAAGACGGGTAGTCACTTGTAGTAACCAAGTATATGCTGAACATGATTGATGATGATGTTAAAATAAGTATGTCACTGTATGTATTCTCCAGAAGACCTTAATGATATTGACAAGAAACCTTTTACCAACCAGGAAAAAATATTGTACGCCGTGTATCAAGGACCTTGGCTGAAGTCAAAGTAAAAAATCATTTATTCATATAGGTAACACAATGTACACTTATAAACGTCAAAAAAGAAATATACATTAAATGCTTCTAATTTTACATTTACGGCCAGTTCTCAAATCAAGGGCGTAGAACGGAAGAGAAGAACTGGCAATAAACTCTCCGCCACTCTTTTTAATCGCCAAGTTTTTGTTTTACACAACGTTTGTAAAGAGCTGCAACCATTATACCATGTTCCACATTACATCTTAAGTAATAAATAATAATAAAATAAATTAAAAACAAAGATTTGTTCTCTATAAGCAGGAGGCATGGTGAAATAGGAGCACGCACTTACATTCTCGTGGGAACAACACGCAAATACATAGTCGAAATAACTAACATCACCGCATACACGAATTCAAGTACGGGTGCTACTTGTGGTGACTGCCACAAGTAGCACCCGTTCACGAGTATGACCAGCCATCGGCCCCCTCCAAACTACTGATCCGTAAAGGTAGGTTTTGTTAGAGTATTTGCTGAAACACAAGTCCTCTAGAGCAATTGTGGGCTAGAAAATAAACAAAATGAAAATGTTTTGTACCGATAAATTTCCCTCGTGGAAAAATTATTGCCGGTCGACATATCACGGGTTTCTGTTGGTTGTTAAAATTAGTTTTTTCTTTTCAATTTGTGCGTCAAGTTAAAACGAATATTAATATTGAAGTTTGATAACAGTTTTCAACTTTGAAAGTGAAGTTAACGCAAGTGTCTCATACACTCTATGGATTACATTTTTGGACAACAACAAATTGAAATCATCCCATCAACCATGCTCTAATGCATTGCTCCATGCATATTATTAGTGACTTGTTGATTTTTGTCGTCATTTACTGTATTTATTTCCAACCCATAATACATAATTGTATATTTATTTACTCGTTTAAAATCTAGCTCATCTCTCCATGACATTTAGTCCACAGTCCTTAATAATTCAACGACAACGTACTACAACCGTAGACGCTCTACTGTCTACATGTATGCTACGAGAAATATAAACACTTGCCCGTAGACTACGCCTAACAAAGATTATAACTGTCCTACAGCTCGTTTCTGGGGTTTTGTGTACAATTTAGTTCCATATTTACAAACAGATGGCATTTATGATACAATGGATCAGACAAGTGTTAAGAAAACGTATTCCGTGATTTAAATTTTAAACGCATAACTGGTACATAAATAACTACGGACGGGGAATAAACTTAATAGATTAGCATAATTTATCTTTATTGGTTTGACAAAATTGATAACTTAAATATTTTGGCTTTTCCCCAAAGGCAAAAAAGGGAAATGTAATAAGGCGGGCAATGAAAATTCCCGGAAACAAACGAGCCGATAACACCAAGAAATTTTCTTTTAATACTAGTAAGATTCACGGCTTTCCTTGTGTACACAAGATTCTGGTATAAGATGTTTTAAATATCCTACTTTCCGATTTCGATTTACGGCTTAAAAATATTTCTTATTGGATGGTTCAGATGGATCACAGTTATGCCAAATATCTCACCCCTAATAACTCGCAACCCTCAAAACTATAAATAACTAGGTAATCAAAATGTAAACTTAAGTATGAACCCAATTACACAAATTTACATAGAAATTGTAAAGCTCAAAATCAAACATGTTAGGTCGGGCAAATGTCCCGACGTTTCAGTATCGTATGACAAACTGCATGGTCACGGGTGACAGATATAGATAGTTCGTTATAAGTGTCAAAGTCAAATTCATAAACAGCATACGTAATATGTCAGGCGTTCCGCTGGTATGTCACAGTAGCTGGAATGTAGGATTATTTCGCTTCCAGTTTTCACGTATAAATATAATATAAGATTTGATGTTTTCAGATTTCTGCTTTCTCGTGTAAATTAAATATATCCATCCCGTTATATCAAAACATGTGTGGGTATATAAAGAACGTGTTTAAACCTCTGCCCCAATAAACATTTATAGATATAACAACATAAATCGAATCTAGGCGGTAAACGCATCAGAATAATTAAGTACTAAATATAATAGCTACTTGCCTCAATCTTTATGAAAAGTTAATTCAAGTGAATCGTAATTTGTAAAGATAAAAATACAGACACTTGGAAAAGTTTCTGGGAACATTTTTTCCAACTCGGCGAAGATTGTAAAGTGAAATCTGTTTCCTAAAATAGGTACAAAGATTTTCATAAACGGAATTGAATTAAAATGTTCGATTTAAAGCCAAGATGCAACAAAAATTAGCATACTCCTTTTAGAGTTGGCTAAAAAGACAGAACACACTTTTC